AGGTTCCAATTAAAAATGTTAAACGACCTCCACAGGCGGTGCATAGCCATTCTGGCGATGGCTCACGTAATCTGGACCCACAGCCTTCAACTTCAAAAAATTGACAACAATCCAGGCCTGCTTCCTGTTAAAGAAAGCCAAGCTTTCAAACAAACCAACCAATTGCTAATAGTTAAAGAAGTAGACCTATTAGGAATAAAAGAAAATTTAAATTTAAATATCATTAAATATAGAGATTTTAGTAAGTTAGTCGATTTAAATAAGCCTTTCATGCATGAATTTCGAGGCATGAAAACCCAAGCGGATTACACTTGTGATATGACCATAGAAAAACTAAAGCAACTTCTACCGTCAAGCAGGTTTAAAAGAGGTCTCATAGATCCTTTAGGTTCAGTTATTAAAATTATAACGGGAAATTTGGATCACGAAGATGCTCTTAGGTATGATGCTGCTATTTCTAAATTAAAGAAAAATCAATCGACCATTGATAGTAAAATAATCATTGTTTCCAAAATGTTAAATTGTCTTGTAAATAGTACTGAAACTTTACATGAAAATGAATTAGTAATGGACGGACGGTTAAAAAGAATCGAATACATAGACAAAAATATAGCTTCTAAAGAAAATAATTCAATATATAATACAAACATATTAGTAATAATAATATGTTCATAAGTAACTTTCGTAGTATTTATTTAAAATTAAATGAAATTGAAACTGCATTGTCGTTTAGTAAGGTTTCAGTATTACATCATTCAATTATTAATTCAACAGAATTGTTAATAATATTTAAGGACATAGCCAAGGTAGATAGTTTAGTTTATCCTGTTCGTGAGAAAAATTTGGTAAAGTTAGAAAGAACCATTATACTAAAAGCATATAATACAGAAAACCAGATAACGTTTTTGATGGAAGTTCCCTTAACGGATAGTTTTAGCTATAACTATTATAAATTATATCCTTTACCTATTTACAATAGATTTACGAACAGAACGTCTGTCATTATTCCCAAATACCCTTACCTATTGGTGAAAGGTTCGCAATACTTACCAGTTTCCAGCCCTTGCACCGAAGTAGCAGCTGACGAATTTTTATGCATGAGTTTCCACGTGGTATCTTATCCTGAAACTACGTGTGCTGAGCAACTAATGAATTTTGAAAATAACCTGGCGATGTGCATATCCCGACCTGTTGATATTGAAGATATCAAAATCCAATCAATTGGCCCCATAAGCTGGATGATATTCACTAAGCGAGATGTGATACTAACTTACAAATGCCAAGACGACATAACCAGAGAATCACTCTTCGGCACATATATAGTGAAAATTAATGAAGATTGCGAAATCTATATAGAAAACTTCAAATTAATGCATCGATTATATTTCGCAAAAGACTTGGGTTATAAAGTTACCCCAATAATCAACTTACCTAAATTAGATTACCTAAATACCACCCATTCTGAAACGGTGAACCTGAAAGGATTGGAGTTGGATGACTTGAAACATATGGCGTACACTATAAATCATGGACTTTCGTTCAGTGATAGTGAAAATCCAAGTATTGATAACTGTGAAAAGTGTTAGCTTAGCAACGTTACTATTATATATAATTTTACCTATTGTAATTCTAATGATTGTTTTAATAAAATATAAAAATAAGTTACTAATTGTTAGGCGGAATCATCGTATATCAGAAGAAATTCCTGAAACCGATAATTCCGCTCTTAGGGAGGGAGGAGTTATGCAACCACAAGGCGCGAGGGTTATTAGCGTTCGTAATCTCTCGTTCTAAAAGAGCTACGCAAGCAAAGTAGAGTTGCAAGTGGAACTTTTCCTTATAATTCTGCGACAGCACTTTTGGTTGCATCTCGAGAACCGTGGCAATAAGCCATCAGATCGGACTGACATCCAACTCTGTCAAGACGTCTTAGTTAAGTCAATTAGAAATAAAGTAATTTTTAATTAGTTTTTAAAAAGTTATTTTACGTTCCCGCAAACTTGACTATCTATTTAAAAAAAATTCAAAACATCCAATATTTGTTGTCTGGTATAGAGAATAAACAGTGAATGTGTCGATTTTTATAGAGAACGTTGGCTTATCACATGGCTATTATAAAATTAGAAAATGGCTAAAACGTGCCTAGTAGCTCGTAACTTCGATTTTATAAAATTTGTTGATAACATTATTTTTGTTTACAGTATTAAAATAAAGTAAAATAATTCCACGATTTCTTTCACTAAAATAAAATGCAGGCATTTTATTCAGTTATGCTTTTTTGTCGCCGCATATTCCCAGATCTTGTAAACCGCAAATATTTATGTATTTTGTATAAGGATAATTTAATGATTTTTCTACAAAAGGATTTTTCATAAGATACATATAATATCAGAGTTCGATTGCGCGAGCATAAGAAAAAATAGAAAATTATAAGGCAATCATCTACATTAGTTTAAGAACATGCAAAACGTGATTTAGATAATTGCCGTAAGGATGGACTACCTAAGGCACTAACAATTTAATTGTACCCCTAATTATACTTTATACCACGCAAGTTTCCTCAACAACAGGTACCAGTTACCACCTACTATTTTTAAGGTTTGTAGAAGTAAAGAGTAAGAGAATTGAGTATAAGACTCTAGAGACCCGCCGAGTACGCGGCCTACAGAGAAATACACTACTGTTCCTAACAACTAACCAAATCGCAAACCAAAATCAAGAATATCCCTATACCGAGCAAAACTAAAATCGTACCTATCGTATAAATCTCAATTGAAGAAATTCTCATTATTATTATTAAAATGCAAATGGTCGGCACTTGTCCCTTAATTAACTTGTGAAAATATGTATACAGCGCCTTTTATCAAGAACAACGCCATCTAATTTTTGCATGGGAACTAATTCCTTATCTTTTTACTTAGCTTTTTTTTTAGTGAACCAATTGTAATAAAACAAAGTAACCAGTGAAAACTGCATTAAAATCCGATAAGTAGTTTTCAAGTTTATCGCTAACAGACAGACAGACAGACAGACAGACAAAAATTCCAAAAATGGTTTTTATGTTTCCTATAACACTTTTTATGATATCCTTTTTCATTTTTTCATAAAAATATTCAATGTACAGACACGCTGATTCTACTCTTTTATTATAGTATAGATATACATATTATAGCCTGTAAAATTATGATGATTTTAAGTTATTATACATATAAAGTTAAATAAAACCAGTGCGTGTTGGACGCGCGTTTGTTTGAACTCGTAATCTAGGGAGTTAATGTCCTAATTAACGTGGGCTGTGTCAAGTCATTTTTTAAATTTTTCATTTTTAAATAAAAAAGAGATAAAGGCGATAAATCCGTAAATACAAATTAATTTAATAATGTGTAATCTTGTAAATACAAGAAAATATCATCAAGATGTTTTAAAGTAGACGAAATACAAATAAAATATTTCATTATTAACTCGGCAATACGTTTTTACACGTTTCCGGCAAATACATCGAAGCAAAGAACTATCACCTCTATAAAACGTGATTCTAATATACATATTTAAATATGTTTTGTAAATATAACCAAACGAGTTTGTCATGTAAACAAATCGTAATATAAATTTCCTGAGAATTGAACAGAAATAAAATAAAATAAGTAAAGCAAACAATTTCATTTCTATTTTCAAAATAATTCATAGAATAAAAAAGGCTGTAATGTTATTGATGAAAAATCATTGCTCGCTGTGTAAAATTATATTACTTTAATTTTAAGCAAGAAGCCACTTGCTTAAAATTAAAGTAATATAATTTTACACAGGACAATTTAAAAAACATCAATTATTACTATGTACTTAAACCATTTTGTATATTGTAACCCAAATTTTGTATATTGTATTAACATAGTACCAACGACTTTAAATCAACACATTTTTAACGCGTGACTACCGTCAAATATTGTCAGTTTTTAAGCTTTTTCTTCCGAAAGAAAAAAAAATGGAATCCATAAGTTAAATAGGAATTTTAAAAATTTGTAATTTAAAACTTACTTATATTTTTAATAAAATTTTGTGTCTTTATATGCTATATAAAATATAACATGAATAGTACGAAATTAAACTTGTATCTGACGAAGTAATTCAAAATAAGCTAAAGATTACGAAACATACCAAAAACCATAATCGCACAACCGTTCGGTGCGATTCAAACTCGGCGAATGTAGGTCATTCGGGTGTTTTTATTGAAAAAGGGTAAAACGGAAATTAATTTATTGCGTTTCCTACCGGCATAGCCTTAACCATGAACAAATAATTGTGTGGTTCAATGCATGTGCTTTTAACTTAGATTTCTAGATTGAAGACAGAGTTATTTACGTCCAATTACACAGTCATTATTTGCTAGCAATCATGCGAATCGAAGTAAGAATTGTAATGCATAGTATAATATTAGGTACAGAGTACTTTTTTTATTAATTGGTTGGTTTTACACAATAACTTCAATCTTATAATAAAGTAAAATTATGTAACATAATTTTTCTTCTGAAATTTATTACTTTATTTCTAAATTCACATAGGAAATTATAGGACAATTAAAATCAATAGGATTCTGAATCGCATGTAACGAATCATCAAACAACGGAACAAATGTAATCGAAAAAAAAATTTAAACGTTTGTATATCTTTTGTAAAGAAATTTTCAATTTATCACATAAACGCAGGGAATAATTTTAAGTGATTTTTTAGATATGGGATAAGAATGAGATGTTTGCTAACGGCGGATTCAGTATTCTATAGTCTGTAGATTTGATAACTACTAAATTGAGCGATAGGTATTCGACATTAGCTCCGTAATACTTACGTACAAATTCTATTTCGAGTAAACAATAAATATCCACTTGTAGATAGGATATTGAAAACGGCCGTAAAGCAATAGCTGACGGGTTGACTAGAGTTCATTGCATTGTATACGATAGTAGATTCAGTCGAAAGCGGGTCGCGTTATGTAAAACACTTACCTGAGCATTGCTGCACCTCAGTGGGGGCGGCGAGGGCCAGTACGGACAACACGACTAAACTCAGCAGTAACATGTTGTGTGGCGGATGGCGACTAACGAACTGAGAAACACGATTCAAAACCGCTACTTATACGGCATAAAAATGGATGAATAGCTTGCCTACTCTTCCGCGCTCACCAACCGATATTCTTGTAAGTCGCATGACTTGTTATTGGTTCATTACTTAATATAATCCTAGGATTTAGGAGCGGATTATTCAGTAAATTAGAGAACGAATTATCAGTTAACAGCAAACGAAAAATTGAAAATAAATTAAATAAAACGTGATTAAATAATAATAAAAGACATATTTTTTTTTCAACCACTTTAATTCCGTTGTTGTACAAATATTTGTTAATGAATCGAACTCGAAAAATAATAACTGACAAGGGTTACTTATAAAATATTCATCATGGCAATCAAAAAATTTTGAAAGAAGCTTATCAATCGAAAGCCAGATCTAAATTAGTGTCATCTTTGTTGAACAGAGTCATTTTCATTGAAATTTTATTATACGTCGAATTGATTTTATTGAATAGAGTAATCGTAGTTATTTAATTTTATTTTTAAATTTTTAAAATAACTGCCAATTATTTTTTGTAAACGAAGTTTTTCATTGTTTTCAAAGTTCCAGATCATTGGGTATCCAGTATATTTATCAGGCAACTTCGCGTATCCCGATGATTGGGCCTTAAAATTGCGCAGGAATTTCTGCGCCGAAGTTTGCGTCTGGACTAATACGGAATAGCATAGAACCAATCGATTATGTTCATTGTACACCCTCCACTGCAAAAATCCGCGTTGATTCTGGAAGTATAACAAGTCCGTTGTTACATCGCTTTAACAGAATGCAATGCGGCCGTCATCAGCTTATCTGCAATCAGGATAGCAATAAGATATCTATCTAAATTATCATCATCATTGCACTTGGCAGGCTATTTTGAAAAATTAACTATTTTCGCAGACTTTTCCTATTTAGATAATCTTGAAATTTATGTTCGAAAACAACAAACAACGCAACGACAACAAACGTCATAACGACAACACAACACAATTAACATTTTCCTCACGTGCTAAATTGCCTCTTGCACCGGCGCTAGCGTCACATACGTGACCAAAACTTTGGAGCACAGTTTAATCTCACTTATATACATTTAGTATGGGTATAAAAGAGAACGTCGTCATGTATTTGAACTTCATATTTATCCTGCAACGTGTGTCGTGGCGACTAAACTGAACTTTATATATTTTGATGCGTGCAGTGTGCTTTAAGAATCTAAAAAGAATGGGAATGAAAACGTGTTGAAACTTTGCACTGACTCGCAAATGCAAGGGCCACATTGCTTAGGTATTTGCTTATTGGAAATGAAATAATTATGAATTGTCGTTAGTCTAATTATCATACTATTTCGTAATTTATATGGCCAAGTGCACTAGGAATAAATAAAATATTATCCACAATCCAAATTGAAACATCTTCATAATAAAATTAATTACCAAAGACGAACACTTATTTTGGTTATTTATTTTTTGCTAGCTTAAAAACCTATTATTTCTACAGACCAATTATCATATATAACATATGAAACGTGTGTGTTTTTATACCCTCCAAATTAGAATTCAATACAAGCTCTAATTCTAATAAGGAAAAATATTCTTATTATTTACTAAATATGTTTTTATATAACTGTGGTGGGGCCACACAGCACCATTATTTCCTAGGGGAGCTCCTAAGGGAGCGTGAAATAGAGTAGTTATTATAGTACATTTGCGTTTCATTTTGTATTGGATGTCTGTGGGCGGAGATAATAACATATCAATTGAACTGCCAGCTCAAACCCCACTTTTTCAAAAAAAAATCTCTTTCTCCTGATCTTATTGCCCTACCTAAATGGAATCGGCAAAACAAATGAATCATGTTGTAAAGGTACGAACGGCCGTTTGCTTGTCAACTGTCCCTGAGAATAAAAACCCAGATCCGGAATAATTATCTGTTGCTCACACAACTACTTGGGCCATGTAGGAAACGAACCCATGACCTGTGCCGAAAAGTTTAGCAACTGGTTGCTAAAAGTTGGTCACATAAAACTACATTATACATTAAACAGAACGCACTGGTCTTTAGTTATAACTAATAAAAAATACTAATACTTTTGCGAAATGCCAATTTTTTTACCTTGGTAATGAGACAGTCAAACTTTTAACAAACTAATAACAATGTTACTTTACTACCGCCATCACAAAAAAGCGGCCTTTGACACTTTATAGTAGTACAAAAACAACTCGCTAATTAATTCACCTCCTGCTGCATGCACGGAAATATTTTATTAAAAGGCGGTGACAAACGAGCATAAGGCGGTGCACAAGGACACATTGATGACCCGTGTAGTTTCTTTATATAACATGCCTGAGCATTCATAGGGCAACAAAATAACCTATCGCAATCCAAGGCAAAAGCTCGTTTTGACAGGTGGTATCGGGAGCTTGTAAAAAATTCATCCGGATCATGTTTTTTTCCTTACTTTGTACTTGTAAAACGTCTCTATCTGCACACTTACATCTCATTCTATATTATGGGTAAGCGTAACATAGCAATTAAAAAGTGAATTTAGTAGATAAACAAAATAAATAATAAATATTTCAGGAGAATATATCACACGACGTTATCTAGTCCAAACTAAGCAAAGCTTATATTATGGAAACTGGGTAAATAATAAACATACTTTTTATGCAAATAAATACATATTATATATATTTTTATGCGACATGGTGACAAGCGAGCGATAACCGCAGCCCATGGACATTTACAGCCACTTAGGGTTGCAGTTGCGTTGCCACCTTTTAATAAAGTGGAAATGAAAACTCCGGTTACTTCAATAACCAGACGATACGCAGAATTATAACACATTTATCCACGCCAGTCTACCGTCAGGTTGTGTTATTTCTTCAGACGGACCTGCCCATTCGTGCAATAGCGAAAACTTTTACTTGGCTCTACCACATTTTCAGTAACTAAAATAATTACCCAGACACAAGAAGAACACTATACTCATCACTAAATGTTTTCCTAATAGGGGATCGAACCCACACCCTCTAGCGCAAGAGATCCTCACTATGGACTACGCCAATTGGAGTCGTCAAAAAAGAAAACAAAAATGAACAAAAACATGCGGCGCTTCTGGATCGAGCCTGAGTCTGTCATGCAACGCGCCCAGGCGCTTTACCAATTAAGCTAAAACTGTTCGCATCTGAATGTAACGTTTAATTTCTGTATCATATGTAAGATTCGTCATCATAATTAGTGTTATAAGATAAATTACCACGGCCACGTTTGTGGGTACACTCATAACGCTTGTAAACGACGTCACTTCGTCAGAATTCACCGGGCAGTGTACTGTTGCACATGGATCTGAAAGAAGTCTATTTTAAGTATGGTCTATTAGGTAAAATAACACAAATTTTGTCATTCAGATATAAGTTAAAACAACAATAATATTTAAATAAACATTAAACAATTTTGGTTAGATTCAGTCAGATAAATTATATCTGTCGGAACCATGATCTTTGATTATTTAAATTCACTTACATTATTCATTAAAATTGTATAGTGGAATGGAATATGCTTTACACATTAATATGTAGGTTTATACAAATTTTTATTTTAATGATAATAAATATTTCCTGTTAATCTGGAACTACTGAATAAAAGATAAATTTCCTGGGACTAATTATTACACGCAAATTTTGTCATTATCATTTTCTATTTAGTGTCCGATCTAACCCGAAAGTACCAGTCAACAATTGAAAATTGTGTGATGAGAAGAAATTTCATACATAAATGTGTTTTACGCTTACGTGTGTTTTACACTTACGTTTCATACATAAATGACTTTTACGCTTGCCGCTCTCATGCCGATTCTAAAAACACCGTTACACTACACAATAGATAGAGTACTTCTTATTTCAGCCAGAAGCATACTCTGTACTCCGACGCATAATTCCGGTCTCTTCCATAAATCTTTTCCTATTCAGGATTTACTTCTCTGGAACTACTTGCCTCATTTCATCAGAATCGCACCAAGTAAGGTATCATTTAAGTAAACACTAAGCCAATTTTGCCGATTGTTAGAGTCACCAACTTTTTCTTTAGTATGTCTCTGTTATACAGGGAGGCTTTTCTAAGTGTATCCATTTTTTTATTAATCCTAGACATTAATAGTGTTATATAAAATTGATAAATATTGTTACGAACACACAAAGAAACTAGCGCCATCTAGCGTCAACCAGTAAAACCACTCAAGGAACAAAGACAACTTAAAACCCCCTATTCAATACTAGATGGCGTTAGAGGAACTACTGTGGAACTATAGTCTCGAAAACCTGGTACAGTCGCGAACTTTCCAGAATCACGATCATGTTCGCGCGTATCACGTATGTTCCACGAAGGAACTTTCTGGATTAGTCTGGGACTCGTCTCGGCCCATATAAAAAGCCGTAGGGTGGCGAGCGAGTACAGTTCAGTTTGAGCTACCTTCGAGGCGACTTCGGAGTGAAAACTAGTGACCAAGAGCGATACCAGTGAAACCTACGACTTGGCTACAACCTAGGACATCGTCAGTGCTTAGTGTTTGGACCTAGTGCTTTGTGTTGGACTTAGTGCGTAAATAAAGTCTTCAAAAGAGTCAGCAGGTCTTTCTCTCCAAATCCTTCGAACCCTAACACGTAACAATATTTTAAATCACTCGTAAGTAATTAATTACATTCATTTGAACTTATCTCAAAAAGTGCGTGATTTATGCGCAACTCATTTATTTTACGCGCGATCATTCATAACTAACACGCACATAAGTTCGTTTGTGTGCGTGTAACAGTAAAATTTTGGTATTTATGAATGACTACCGCGTTGTCAACAAGTTCTGTTTTTTAGGGAATAGAATGGTAATTGTTTTGAAAAAAAAAAGGTTGTTTTTATTTCAGTAAACGATTATACTACCGAGTCTGAACCTCCTGTGTAAATTTGGGCACCTTTAAAAAAGTGTCCCTGTATAGATTATTATACAGCGTGTCGTTACCATCGCGACAATAAATGAACACACGTCTAACGCTACTTGCCAATAATCATAAAAAAACATTAACGTTAAACAAAATCCATAATTAAAAAAAAATATTTTTCAAACAAACTAATTAAGTATAAAAGAAACAAAATTTGTAACATCCTATACAACTCGCACCACAGCGTCGTATTATAAGCCTCTCCTTCTAACAGTATGTTTTGTCTCTTTTAAATTCATTCAACCCATTCATATGCTTTGTGACCTTTACAAATGAACTTTACATTAAAGTTTTATACGTAAGGTTGTTCTAAAATTCTTTGTTTTGGAAAATTTAATAACTCTGTAAATATTGATGTTTAAAGAATTTGAATGTTTAATACAACTTTAAAAAGTTATCCCCTATATGTGTGTTCATTTATTGTCGCGATGGTAACGACACGCTGTATATATAGTAGCTGATCCGGCAAACGTTGTTTGGCCATATAAATTATTTGCAGAATAGAAAAAAATAAAAAAAATGTTATAAATCTACTCTCATACCTACTAAATATACATATAAAATTTCATCAAAATCGGTCAAGCCCTTTCGGAGGAGAACAAGCTGATCACGCAAACTTTGTTTTGCCATATAAAGCTTATTAGCATTAAGTTTGCCTTTTGTTTAGCCTTAAGTTGGGATGTAAACAATATTTTTTTAAATAAATAAATAACTGTCGAAGTTTAAGTGGCGGGTTAGTTAGCTAGTTATTCGTCTGAGTACTACTTTATGTCTTCAAAAGTAAAAACTCTACTTTTACTGAGCTAATGGGTTTGCCACCTAGGAATAAATCATGTGGAATAGTTGCCGAGCTATCGCCAGTTTTTAAGGATAAAATAACTTTTATGTTATTAATTGGAAGAGAACTAAAGACTTCACATCGTATCGGAAAACGATATTGAATTTATTTTAAAACTTTATACTACATATTTAATGTGAATTAAACTTAATTTAAAAAAAAAATTTAGACATGTACGTATATTTAACGTTCTCTTCATTAATTAGTAAGCAGGAACTAGAATGTGATATTTCACAAAAGAAACCAGTTTATGTGATAACTATAAGTATTTATGATAATTTCGCAAACATTTTGATATAGACATACAGGGTGGCTTTTCTAAGTGTATCCATTTTTTTTTATTAGATTCTAGACATAAATAATGTTTTATAAAAAATGATAAATATTTAAAATCTATTCGTAAGTAATTAATTACATTCATTTGAACTTATCTCAAAAATTGCGTGATTTATACGCAAATCATTTATTTTATCGCGATCATTCATAACTTACACGTACACAAATTTGTGCACAGTAAAATTTAGGTATTTATGAATGACAACCGCATTGTGAACACGTTCGGTTTTTTAGGGATTAGAATGGCATTTTTAAATAAATAAAAATACTTTGTTTTTTATTTCAATAAACGATTATACTACCGAGTCTGAACCTCCTGTTTAAATTTGGGCAGTTCTCAAAAAAGCTCCCTGTATATCGTAATTGAATTGGTACCTACGATTTACCTGGTGTTACGTGAGTTCTCGAGGATATAAAATTTATATTTATGGTTACATCTTGATCCAGCTGTCGTGATACGAAATCTGAAAAACATATTTTTTTTATATATACACATACTACATACAAAATTTTGTGACATTTCATTGTAAATTCATCAGTAAATTTATGAAATAATAACTACCTTATCTGACAATCAGATTATAACATGCTTTAAAATATATATAACCTGCATAGAATTCCATAGTGACAGGCACACTATCGCCTAAGGTGATGTAGCAAGGTAGTCTCATCCCACAGCCAAGGATATTGACCCTATGTAAGTCGTACGCTGACCCTGAAATAAAGTTTCAAAGTTGATGTGGTCAAAAATCCGTCCAATCAATGCAATGAAAATTAAAATTGTAAAGTACATCATAAACTGTCATCTAAACTTTCGGTAATATAGTATGACTGGTAGAGAATGCCATTAGGCATTAAGTGCATTGTAGCTTTTAGTCTAAGGTGTAACAATGAAGTATAAATAAATAAATAAAATAATATGGCCATACGAACTACTACATTTGATCGTGTAAAATAAATAACAGATAGCCGGTAGCCCAGATGTATTGCGATAGAGTAGCACATTAGAATATTTTGCGGAAATTGACAGGATTTAAAAACAAATTCAAGGACTGAGATATAATTAATAAGATTCATAATATAGTTTCTGCAGCAAGAAAATTAAACAGACTTCGCTTAAACAAACATAAAGATTTTAAATAAAAAAAAAGTTTAAAGTCTATTTGGTAATTTACTATATATCCTAATGACCCGCTGTAGTTTCTGCTGAACTTTCTGGTACGATGGGGAGGCATGTCTAATTTGAGGATCTACTATTTTGATCGTTGCTTTTTAAATGTTATGAAAGATGTTATATGCAAATTTCGTAAATGTATAAATAAGGTATCGGCAGAATATGTTTTTTTTTTTAAATACTTAGTGGTAAATAACTGTTTAAGTATTCTGTGCTCACTTAGAGACCTGAGACATATTTTTTCGCTCTGAAAGCTCTGACGAAATCCACCGAATTTCTCATATAATTATTCCATATAGCAAAATGGAGGAAACATGCGAGCAGCGCTAGATGTCGCAATTTGTTTTGATCGGTTTAACACGTTTTTTTATAGGAAAAAGCGGCAAACGAGCATGCGGGTCACCTGATGGTAAGTGATCACCGCCGCCCATGGACATTTGCAACATCGGTTGAGTCGCAATTGCGTTGCCGGCCTTTAAGGTAGGAATAGGCTCTCTTCTTGGTCCCTAAGTCCTATTGGTCTGGAAATACCCCTGGCGACAACTCGTTCCACAAAGTAGTTGTGCGCGGTAGAAAAAACACAAAAAATTCGCAAAAACCGCACAGTGCAGGACGTATACGTAACCTTCTAACTTGGAACAAATTTTATCGATATGTACCTTCCAGTTGCAATATTTGTCGATCGTTATTCCCAAAAACGTTGTTGATTCTGCATTTTGTACCGTCTTATTATTATTTGTAATATTTATAGATTTACCTAATAGGTTACTATTGTATGTTTCAAATTAAATTATGTTGGTATTGCTAATGTTTAAATTTAAATTATTTTTCACCATCCATTCAGTAATATCATCCAAAGTTTGGTCTTTTGATAGGTATCTTTACTTTTGTTTAAGTAATGTTGTGTCATCCGCATACAAGATACATTTATACGTACTCGCATCTAGGAGATTATTAATGTAGACTAAGAATAAGAGCGGCCTCAAAATACTACCCTGTTTTACAACACATCCATGCAATTGATATCGAGATCGTTGTAACTTTTAGTATAGATCTGAAAACCATGGTATTTCAATACACTGATAGCGATCTGAAAGGTAGCTTTCTATCTAGTGTAATTTATTTCCTCTAATAACATTTTTATGTAGCTGTTTTAAAAGAATACTGTGGGATAAAAAGTCAAAGGCTTTGGACATATGTAAAAAATAGTTGTGATTTCCTTTTGATCCAAATACTCTGTTATTGTTTTTACTAATAATACTTTTTCCTAAAACAAATTGTTATGATTTAAACTATTGTGTTTTATTAGAAAATTATATAACCTACTAAGAATTTTCTTTTTTTTTTTCAAATATCCTTGACAAAATTGGAACTTAAGTTACCGGTCTATAATTGTTAAAATTAGTTTTATCGCCTTTTTTAAAAAGGGGCTTCACTACGGAGAACCTTAATCATGTTGGAAAAATAACTCAAAACAAAGACATGTTTATTATATGACATACTAGGTGTATTTGTAGAATATATGGTATTATTTCTTAAATATAAGCGTTAATTAATATAATTATAATGTTAATTCCTAACAAAAAATTCATAAATTTTATAATTTAATTGTTCTATTTTTTTAATTCGCTTCTAAGTTTAGAAGAAAACTGAATAAGATATTGTAATTAATTTTTGCAAGACGTTAATCTATAAAACGTTCGTAATTGAGTGTTGATGCCAAAGATGTGTTTAAAATACGATTGAAAGGAATTGTGATTGGCAAACTTCAAAGAAATTCTACGATAAGTTTTCATAGATATAGTGTTTTGGGAGGGTTTTTTTAAGTGAGAAGTTGGTAAGCGACCAGGGAGCTGGTGGTTAACCTGATGTTAAGTGATATCCATCGCCCATGGACATTTTCAACACCTGAGGGCTTGCAGATGTGTTCACAAAACTCTAAAAAACTTTAAAAAAGTGGGTCCCGGTTACCTCACTCTCCAAACGAAAGACAGAAGTGTAACATGGTAACTCTACGGACGGACCAGCCCATTCGTCCAACGATGAAGACTGATGCGTGGTCCTACCACAGTTGAAGTTGTTGGGATTCAATCATATTATTAACTAACAGTTTTCATGATGATTCAGTATTTTCTTTAGTAACTTTTAGTTTTCGGTTGTCGGTTTTAGTATAGGTTTTAAAAACGAAATGAAATGGTAAGTTTCTACCGGCGATTACCCTTGCCCATGTACATAGATACATCTGCGACATTTAACGGGTTGCAAATGCATGTCCAACAATAAAAAAGTGGAGTCCAGATACCTATCTCACCACCACGCCAGTCTTCTATGAGCTATGACCCATATCAGCCAGTTCAACCTCCTAGGGATCTCTTTTTAGATCAGTTAGTTTCTAGAAACAGTTAAATGAAATGAATAATATCTTTTTTAAATATGAAAATTTATTCGAAATGTTAAATCTAACAAAATTACACGTTATCTTATAAACCTAGTCCACAGTAGTACAAGTTTGATAAAATAGAGTATTACTGAGCTTATATGGCTTTTAATTAGAAAAAACTTAATTTATTTTAAATCTACAACACAAAAAGATGTTATGCTAATCCAACACATTATGTATAAAATTATAACCGAGTTCAAGACCAAAAATAGTGCTCTGCATAAAAACTTATACAGGGTTTTTCCGTTTCCGTTCGTAATTGTGATTTGATTTGATTGTGAATGATTACCATAAAGATAAAAAAATCTTCGAACGTGTCGGCTCGATCAATCAATATTTCGATAAATCATATGCCACTTATTTGAAACTGCACTTAAAAACACTATCGTATCAGGTAATTGCGTGACAAAAGTTAGTTTTGATCAAATCAATAAATTATTATTAAAGAATATGTGTAGCTGAAGAAAACAAATAAATTTTCAGCCGTGGTAGGGCCACGCAACAGCTTCGGCTGTTGCACGAATGGGCAGGTCCGTCCGGGCTAGTGCCACGACCTCACAGAAGACCGGTGTAAAGCAGAAGTGTTACATTTCTGCATTTCGTCTGGTGAGTGAGGTAGCCGGGGCCCACTTTATTTAATAGTGACAATGCATTTCCAACCCTACGGGTGTTGCTAATGTCCATTAGTAAAGACGGCGGTTATCACTTAACATTAGGTGAACCGCCAGCTCGTTTGCCACTTTTTCACATAAAAAAATAGATTTCATATTTATTTTAAAAATTATTTCTTGTTAAAATTATTATATATAGTATATTATTATAAAACATTTCATAATATAAATTATCGCATGCCACTTTTTCACATAAAAAAGTAACAGAAGAATAGTAGTAATATAATAAAGGATCATTATAGTTTGCCTGTTTTTACTTCCATCTTAATGTTGAATCGGATACAAGCCGCAGAAATTAATTTTCCACGGGCTTTTTGTTATCTTATCCGAAATTGTGTACACGTTCCTACGTGTGGAACTATCTATGTACATGGAACTACATAATATAACAGGAACAAGTTTTGTGCATTCGCACAAGTTTTAAAAACAACTAAAAACAAACCTTTTGAATGTCCTCCCTTGGTTCCTCTGGTTGTTGAATGGAAAACCTACTTTTGTACTTTTCTGCATACCTTTTAGATGATGTTGTGGTGGCTTAGATGTTCAAATTACTTATGATTATCGAAAATTATAAGTTAACCAAATTCTGTTAGTCGTTTTTTCATTTCATAAGGAAAGACAGCTTAGCCAGATATAGCTTAGATAGACAACAGATGCGGGCGTCGCACTTGTCAAACATATTTATAGCGCCTGGGAAAGGACACAAGACGCAATAGGTGTCTTTTGTGACCTTTTGTGACCTGGCATTCGTGGCATCGCCCTCAATCTCATTGCCTCTTAGCTTAGTAAAAGAATTCAAAAAGTATCTATAAATGGATCAATCTTGGGTCCATTATTATTTTTAGTATATACTAGCTGCTCGCGACTACATTCAGACAGATTCAGTAAAATTCATACAGAAAGATTGATATATATATATACAGCGTGTCACGCGACAATAAATGAACACACGTCTAACGCTACTTGCCAATAATCATAAAATGAATGTTTACTTCAGTTATTTTGACAGCATCTTGTCGTACGGGATTTTGCTGTTGGGTAGTGCATCAGATATATATTTATTCTTCTAAAAAGAGCTGTCCGATCAATCTACAATATCGGAGCCCGGAATTCACTCAGAATATTTTTAAAGAGCTTAATATACTCACTGTTGCCTTTCAATACATTTATTGCAATATTTTGTATATACGTCATAACCTTAATTATTACCTAAAGAATAGTGACAGACATAAAATGAACACTAGAAATAGGGTCAAACTTACTATGTCATTGTTTCGTCTACAAAAAGTAAATAGTTCGTTCATGGGGCAAAGTGTGCGCATGTATAATAAAATTCCACAGTCGATATTAAGTCTGCCGCTTGACCAATTCGAACATAAAATAAGTCAACTTATGCTTGAAGCATAACCATTAGAGAATATCTCGACGAC